TTTTTAATAAAAATTAAAAATTTTAAGTTTTAAATTAAGCCAAAAATCGTGCGGAGACTTTTGGCGGGGGTCTGTATTTTACTTATTTCTTTTAGGCTAACTCGATATGCATATTAAGTCTACTTTCATATTTACAGCATTTATCGCAAATTTTTTATAAAAATAAATTAAAAATTTTTATTTATAAAAAATTACATAACTAAAATGATTGTTAATTTAAATGCAAAAGAATTCTTGGATTACCGGTCGGTCAAAATCGGTCAAAATCGGTTGGTCAGAAACCTTTGACTGACAGATATCGGTTACGGTCATGACCGTAACCATTAGCATCCCTAGTTAGTTATTTCCTTTAACTTGATTAAATATAACACATTTTGATTTGAATTTTGAATATATCATCACGATTTGTATTATTAAGTAATGAAATAAAATGAAATTATTTTTTTTTTTAATGAAAAATATACTGTAATGTTGATTACATAATCACACACTCCTCATCTTTTTTACCGTTACCATTGGACGCTCCTTCATTTTTTTTCTTTAATTTACCTGCTTTACCTTTTCCACTACCTTTTTCATTATTATTATTATTATTACTGTCTTCAGCAGCCGGAATTGAATATTGTCTATTACCATACCAACTTGAATCTGCCATATTTGGAGATCCAGGTCTCGAGCTTGATGATGCTGCTGTTGATACCGATGAATCTACACTATCTGTTAATGATATTTGTGAATTTATTGAATCTTCTTTTTTTGTTTTTTTAGAAAATCTATTACGCTTCGATGGAGTTGGTGGATGTGGTGTTGATGAACTATTTACTGGGTTTGTAATCGTTGGAGCATCTATTTCTAAAGATGTATTTTTAGCATTGAACCTTGGAAGCGAATCTTCAATCTTATCGTTTGGAAAAAGACAGGTTGAGGTTAGATAAATTTTTCCGTTTTTTTTCCTATATCATAAAAAAATAGAGAAGAATATTAAGACCTACCACTTCAAGCGGAATATACCTTATCGCGCGATTTGGTAATGTGCATGGCCAAGGAGCTTCTGGAGAACATTTCGAATGACACACCATATTACATTCTATTTATTTGGAGGATATAAAAAAATTTTTTTTAATTATTATTCGTCATAATATACAAATAAAATGAATGTTCAATATACCTTCACACATGACAACGTGTTTTTTAACGGTATTATGACATATCCTGCATTCAACAGCTAAAAAAAAAATATTTTTAACAAATCTTTTGGTTAGATTCACTTTCGCATAAATTACTTAAGTAATAAATAAACACTAACGTTTGCTAAATGAATTCTTCACGAATCGATGTGGAACCATTGGAGTTGCCGCAAATAATTTTGTCGAAGTTGGAGATAGTTGTGGCATCACAGCAACGTTCGACTGAGAACCAACTTGTGGCATTGGCAAAGGCTGCGTCGTCGAGATGGGTGTAATTGGTATTCCACGGGGAGACAAAGATTCTGATAATTCGTGTTCTCTCTTACATTCATCATTAGTATTTTCTATAATGGTGCCATCAACATTACTAGCTTTGCTAAGTGAACTTGGTTTAATTTCAGCAAGGTTAGTGTCAGATGTTATCCTCCGTAAAAATGGTAAACTTTCTTGATTTCTTAATTCTTTTATTGTCCAATTATTTTTAATCCAATCATGTCTAAATAAATCTCGTGCAGTCGGTCTCATTGAAGGACTTTTATAAAAACATTTTTTAAGGAAATCTATGAGGTCATCCGATATACTTTCTGGTAGAGGAGGACAATCATCTTCCACTATTCTAAACAGAGCAGTCATTGCGAGTAGATCCGAATATGGAGGTTTACCCGTTAATAATTCAATAATGGTACAACCTAAAGACCAAATATCCGATGCCGTGGACGCCCCTTTAAGTTCAATGATTTCGGGAGCCATCCAATTTGGCGTCCCTGCAACATCTGTACTAACATGTTCCATCATTTTAAGGTTTAATGAAACACCAAAATCTGATAATTTAACATTCCCATTTTTTGTTGTAAGAATGTTTGCAGCTTTAAGATCACAATGAACGACTTGCTTGTTATGTAAATATACCAACCCTTCCAATATTTTAACCACATAAGAAACTACCAATTTTTCTGGAAAATTTCCAAATGATTTAAGTGTGTGTAAAAGAGAACCATTTTCTACGTACTCCAATATAATGTTAATATGATCAGTAGTCATAATAAATGATTCATATTTGACCACACTTGGATGAGAAAGCGATTTCAAAAGTTCAACCTCTTGCATAAGTTGTTTAATCTCATCAGGACTTTTCCCCTCAAGTTTAATTCTCTTAACAGCAGCCATTTGACCTGTTCCCAAATTTAATGCCCTGTAAACTGCACCGAATTGTCCTTTTCCTATACAATTACCCAATTGAAATTGTGACATTATTTCATCTCCAACTTTTAAAACTAGTTTCTCTCTCGGTGCATCCCCAAAAGAAGGTGTTCCACCAATACTTTCGCGCCTCTTAAACTCATTTTTGTTTGGGAATATTTCCGAAGTACGATCACTCTTATAACGTACATGAGTTTTTCGACTTGATCGAGTAGAACTATTTCGACTAACTGGCATCTCTGATTTCGTTGGGGCTGGAGAAATTGGTAAAGGTGCAAGCCCTTCAGCGAATTCAGATTCAAGTTCTTCTTCCTGTTTTTGTTCTAAAGTTTTTGCAAATAATTGACCCATCGTCACACTTTTTCGTAAACTAGGTCTCTTCTTACGGAACGTTGTACCAGAATTCGAATTATCAGTATCGCTATTATGCGATGACAAGTCGGAAGTTTGATCATCAGTTGTATTTTTATCAGACGAAGGATTTATTGTTGAATTTGGATCGATATTTTCCGACTGAGTGAGTGTACTCTTGGTTTTCACAGTTAAATTATGATGATAATTGTTATTATTATTATTATTTTTAACATTATTATTATTATTATTATTATTAAAGTCAAATATTTCATTCCTATTTACTTTTTCTGAATTCCTCATTTTTAACAAATCTGATTTTTCAGATTCTTTAAAGCCTAATTCATTAAATTTATCCAAAAATGGTCGTTCAATTCGCTCAATTGAATGATCAGAAGCACGACGCGAAAATTTTCCTGTAGAAATACGTGCAATCGCTAATATTGTAGCTACCACCTACATGATGATAACGGGATGAATTAATTTATGACAAGTAATAGGATAAATAATGAATGATAATAGATTATTCGTTTAAATTTATACGTACCTTTTCCATACGCTTTGCTTCATATAAATCAACAGTTTCAAATAAGTCCGAAGTATGTAATCCCAACTAAAAAAAAAAAAATCGAAATGATGATGATAATTTAAAATTGCAATAAACTGAAATTTTATCAAATGAATTAAACAATACCAGACGAGCCGCGTTTAAAAAATTATTGATGTTTTCCATCTACGTATTTAATAAAGAAATTGATAAATTAATGGGAGCAAAATAATAAGTAATATAATGGATGAATCAAATCATTTTTGCATAAAGAGATTCATACCTTTACAAAAGCCAAATCCTTACGGCTAATTTGAGGTATAACATCCGGTCGTAATCTGTTCATCATTCTTTATAAAAGAAGTGGTTTAATGATAATGAAAAAGATTTGTTAGAGAACTTTAGTCAACTTTGTATAAATTTGTTAACTATGAATTCAATTCTGGTCTAATGCTATTAAAATTGGATATAAAGGAAACATATTAATTATCTATTTCTTTTTTTTTTTTTTTTTTTTTAACATTCCCCTATTCAATGAGAAGCCACACACCTGCACAACAAAACGCCGTCTTTGAGAACCTCGTGCAGGTCATTACTAGGCAATTTCAAACCTAATGTTTGTTCAATATATTCCCTTGCAGCTTTCTGGTTTTTTGTAAATTGTTCCTCTCGTAGAGATTCGACAAACAATCGATCCGTTTTGCTTGTACTTATTGAAGGTCGTCTAGGTTTATGCCTTTGAACGCTAATGCGATATGGCTTAGTAGCAAATAAAGAAAGTTCTGAGCTCATACTTTTATCGAAAAAGTAGTTAAAAAACTTTCAATTTTAAAGAAATTAAGAGCGATAATTTGTACGAGGAAGTTATATTGAGAGTAACCAAGTACATAAAGTTTGAGGGAATAAAAAATTCGGAAAACTGTGCATTGTTTTACATTGTTGTATGTTACACCGCCCAATCATATAAAATCTTATTTAAGCCCCTGAAATCATTTTAACCAAATCATTTCACAATTTTTTTTATTTTTATTTTTTATCTCGAGGAACAAATTTTACAAGTTGTTAGTAATTTAGCGAATGAATGTAAATTAATGTATTAAAGAATCGAAAAAGTAACTAGCGCAGGATATACATGAATTTACACTAAAATTATATAAGATGAAATCCCATATGGTTTCTCAACAGGCTACCTTGGGAAATGAATCTTGTGATGATCTTCCAGAAAGAGAATAATTGATGTTATTTAACATCTTATTTATGAATTAATTTTTGATTATTCCGAAGTTTATCTTGATCAAAGCGATCCTTTTATAGTGAGACCGACAAAATAGAAGGTCATATGATGTGTCTATAAGTTTTTGTTTATTATGACTGTTTGATTGTACTCATGAATTTAACTAAAAATGTAAACTCAATAATACTAAAGGAATGAAATAAACTTTGCTGAATTTTTTTAAAGGTTTTTTTTTTATCAAATATTATCAAGAACGAATTCAAGATTTTTTTGATAAATATTTTTATTTTATTCAACGATCATAGATGAATGGGAGATGTCGGACTTTTTCAATATTAAATACCATTTCAGTATTTGGGCATTGAGAGCGATTCTCAGGACTTTGAAACAAATATGTTCATCACAGATTATTCTCTTAATTTGTTTATCAAATGACGTTTGAAAAGATATTTGAAGCTTACCAGAAACCTTAAATTTGTTACTTCCGGTGGCTGTGGTGGCTTTTCCGCTATAGCGCCAATTTCCTTTCTGATGCTAGACTAGTCTAGTATGTTGACGTATTATTTTTATTTTTTCTATCTGCATTTGACATTCATTATATTTAGGAGCTGATCATCTAATTTCAAGTTGTATGAATGCAAAGTCTACTCTTTGGATAGTTTCAAATGAAAGCTCCAGCTTCCTTTTAATACATATAAATTGATTCTTCAGAGGAATTCCTTTCGTATTTATAGTTATAATGCTTGATTATAATAAGCCTACCCTGTTATTTCCAAACACTTTATTAAAGTTTTCTTTCTGTTTCTGAGTCGGTATTCTTTTGCCACAAAGTAGTTAGGGGATCTTTCTTAAATCATAAGTTTTGCGTTACCATGAATTTAGAGTTCAAATTCTTAGCGATAGAGCCCACCTGTTGTGTGCAACGACATTATCTTTTAATTTTTTAAATACCTTGCGCCTCGCGTATATTTTATTTTCCATTTTTAGATGCTTTCTTTTTATTTTGGAGTAATTTTACGTCATGAAAGTCAATAAAAATAAAAAATCCTTCAAGAGTTTTGAACTTGGATGACTTGATGAGAATCTTTTATTTTAGAAATGATGTGAACAAAGTTATTCTCAAATTGTAGGGTTTAGCAAAGGTAAACTTTTGTGCATCATAAATAAACTCACAATCGCACAACTAAAGCTATAAATAGACCGTTACGTGATTTATGGATATTGTACGGTTTTGTTATTTATATTGGTTAACATAAACAATCCCTATGTTATCGTTTGTTTCATGCTTATAGAAGCTTCTTTGAGATCTTATTTTACCCACCTTTATAAATTAATTATCAAACGAGAATAATAAATATATATTTGATTTATTTTTAAGTTTAATGATTTTCAATCACTAGAAATGAATTCTTTCGGTATCCAAACAAAGAGTTCTTGAAATATTTAACTTTATTATAATGTCCATTTTTTTCAAGTGGCCAATTCTCAACTTTACCAAAACGAAATTCTTTATACTTTTTTATTTTTTTTACAAACGATGATTTCACTCACTTAAATGATTGCGTGTATTTATTGAATAATGGAAAATAAATTATTTTTAATATAATAAGCTACGGATATTCAATATTTTATTATGATTATCAAAATATAGTATATCATAAAAATATACCAAAGGTCAAACAAACTCAGCACAGATACAAACATTAAAACGATCCATATTATTTGCGATATGAAAATCACATTGTCACATTGTTTTTGGATATGTACTTTGTATCACACATGATATTTATAGACAATTTTTAAACGTAAAAAAGATAATTAATAAAATTCAAGCTTCTAGAGTCACGTAAATAACGTAAACTTTAAAAGTTACAAATAATAATTAATTTACTGGATTATGTTTATGTTATTTTTCTATTCTTTATCTGCACGTTTGCATGTAACCAGATCAATTAACCAATGCAAACGACCTGCCTTCAACCAAGGTACAAAAAAAAAAAATAGAAAAAAAATATTAATAAAGAAAAAAAAAATTTTTTTTTCTTTTAGAAGAACGGCCTCATTTTATATGGCATGTTAAATTGAGGTTCGGAGAGGTTATAACTGGGCTCCAACGCGGAAGGTCGTGAAGTTCCCAGGATAAAAGGAATTGCCGTTGGAGAGGCTGAAGTTGAGTTATTACCATTATTTAAAAGAACAGAGGGAGGCAAGAGAGGAACGAGATTTGTATTTCCACCATTCTGTACAGATGTGTTGGCAGTTCTTAAAGTACGATGTTGATTGGACCTCCAATAATTTTTGATCTTGTTTGTATTGTGTAATTTAAGAAACACCTGCTGCATTTCTTTCTGTAAAACAGTCCATCGAATTTCACCATTAGGTAGCCGGTGTTGACATACCCACACATCAATGTAATTCTTTTCCCCCTGAGTTAAAGGATCATGACATACTGATCAGGATTAAAAATAATGAGAAAATTTATTTTACAATTTTAGAAACCAAGAGGAAAAAAAAAGAGGCTAACTTACAACACCAATTAAGATTATTGTGCCAACTAAAGAAAAAGAAAATTTTAGAACAAAAAATATTTTGTGCGTAAAACCTTGTAACTTTTTTAATCTTCATTAATACTCACTGATGATATATCCGACTCGCGGAATATGCATAATTAGTCAGTCTACTGATTTCCGCAAAAGGAGATGAGCAATTTCCTTCCAAATTTGCCATACAATCCTTGATAAATTCGTTTACCTTGAAAAGAGGAAAAAAAAAATAAGAGAAAAGAAATAAAATTTAATATTTTAATAAAATTAAATTACGTGAAAGAGAAATTAAACTCACGTCGGCATTAAATACGGAACTCATTTTGAATGATTCAAAAAGATAGAATGATTAAAGTTCAAGCACAAAACGATGTTTTTAGAAAAATTACTTCTACAAAAAATATGTCGGATTATATAGATCTAATTCTCGGCTATTTAAAATTTCAATATTTCCTTTTATGTAACAGCATGTAAATATCAGGATCCTGGAAAGTTTTAAAAAGGTGCGACAAAAATAGTCATGTGGATGTTTTTTTGGTGAAAAGTTCAAATCAAACAAACATAAAAAATCGGTAAAAAAGTATAAATCTTAATATAGTAATCCTTTAGAAAAAGAATGCATATATTTTATTTGAAAATCGATAACAATTTTACGCATGGTAATTCAACATTATCGTACAGTCGTGTATGTAGTGTAACAAATTGTACCCTGTCTAACTAAATGTATTAATTTCTTTGACCCTTTGTTGAAAAGGATCCATGTTTGTTTTGGCAACATAAGCAATTCATGTTCTTATGTAAGGTGAATGACGACGTCTCCTTTTAAAGCGCAGATTCGTGTGACGAAGTTTTGATAAGCTTAAGCTTTAAAAAAAGCCAACATACGGATTATATTTTGTTTCATCCTTTCCAAGCTGCTGCTGCAATAAATAAATAACATAAAATTAAAAATATTTAACGTAAGAAAAGATTTCGAAAATTAATTTTTTTTCAAATTTAGAAATACATCAGAACAAAATAATAATCGATTTATTATTTATGATGTTAACAGTATCTAAGTAAGCATGGTTTTTGCTTAATAAAAAAAAAAAAGAATACGAAAACAAAAAAATCGATAAAAAAAAATATATAATATTTTTTTTTTTGTTCGAAATCAGTAACGTCACAATGTTCTGTTATTTTGTCATGTACCACCTAATGACCTTTCTTTGACCTTTGTTATAATATTCCATCTTGGGATCACAATTTATATTTTGTGCCGTGTCATGCATGAAAACGCATAAAGTTTTATTTTTTTTTAAAAAAAAAGAGAAAATAATAATTAATGATCCGTTGGAAGTATCAAAACATATCTACCTCTAAACTCTGAAAATCGATATCAGGCCGTTAAATTATAAAGGTTTTTCTTTCATCGTAAATCTTGATTCATAGAAATAAAATTATGTTATAGAATTTAAAGTAAATCGGGTCATGTAACACATTGTTTAATATTGTTTTTATAATGAAACGGCTTTGCCAAGCAAATGATTGAAATGATCTTGAAACATAAATATTATTGTTAATCAACCTTATGAACAAACAATACAAACAAGAATCATTTTGAACAATATCATCCTCTATGTTATGTTTAAGATTCAAGGTCTTTAAAGGATTATGTAAAATTATATATTGGCAATTCATTTGTGAAGTAAGACTATTCAATTTAATAGTAGCCACTACGGATTTGAAATTAATTTTTTTCATTTTCCGTAATAAAAGACAATAATTTAATAGTTATGCTTTAACAAATTAGCATCTGAGGATTGATGGGAGTAATATTTGGAATGGGGCTCAGAATCCAGTTTCATTAATGTAAGAATTTGTTTACCAGGAATTCTAAATTGTTATTTCCAAAGAATTTTCTAGTATCAATCACTAGTTTCTGTCCATCGCGAATAAAAAACAAATTTTGTGAAATTCGATCAATTAATATGAATTTCACGTAATACAAGATAAATTTTAAAATATATGTCGGTAATTAGGTAGAGAATTAGAAAGATTTAAGTTAAAAAATAAATAAAGAAAGGAAGGAAGGTAGTTAAAATATATTTTCATCAAATAAATAAAACAAAATATTTTATCAGCAATTACAATAACGTGTTGATAGTTTTTATGCAACGATCGCTGAAATCAATTAATCTGTTATTGTTTTTGTCTTTTGAAATAATAAAAAAAAAACAAAAAAAAAACGCGAAGACGCGAAGACGCGCCGCGCCATTAAACTATAAAGTTTCTATTAATTGATAAAAATAATGTAATTGGTACTAAATCCTCAATGTTAGAAATAAATAAATATATGAGGAAATAAGTGTTGTAATCGAATGCTTGGCATTTTGAGGTTTGGTGTTTGCCGCATAAATAAATGCCCACTTACTAAATTATAAACTAATAAAACTAGGTAACGGGGGCCGTTGTGCGTCCGAAGCGAGCGTCACGCCGTTATATTCCAATTTTTTTCAGAACAACTTAGTATAATGTTATGCTGTTGAAATAATTATATATGTATATATAGTATATATATAACTTTTTTTTGAAAATCGATTGAACATTTAAATTAAGTTAATAATATAAAAATTATAAAAAAGATAATAAAGTTTTTATATAAATAAGCAATTACAATAAAATAAATTGTATTAAGGAATCATTGATATTAATCGCCTTTCTTCAGTCAATCTTTCTTGCAACCTCTTACATTTTTTAACACGCTGAAGTCTTTCTAATGAAAATGGTCTAAAAAGAACATTATTGAGAGCGCAAACTCGGGAAATTGCGACGAACGAAAGACCTGCAGCATATTCCTTTTCCCCAATATCTATTATAGCCTTCTTCAATGTTAGTCCTTGACTCTTGTGGACGGTGATAGCCCACGCAAGACTAATAGGGATCTGTGTTCGTGAACAAGTTCCTTTTTTTGCAGTCTAAGAATGACCAATGGATGGAATTGGAACAAGCCTTTTACCTTCCTAAGTCACAATAGCAGGACCCGAATAATTATCAAACTCTATTAGAACCGCATTGGGAAGGGAGGGAGGGCCCTGATCTTCTTCAAACACTATTTCACGGATGGTACCCATGGAACCGTTGACTAAATCTGCTTCTACCCATAAATTAGCTTTGAGCATAACTCGCGCATCTTTCGATAATAATAATTGCGCCTCAAGACCCTTTGCCATATCAGGTATAATATATGGGACAGACAAACATCGGTACCTTTTGCATAGAATGTAAATGTCCTGGTTACACCTAGTATGTGTGTGCAGTCACGTGCGGGACAGACAAACATCGGCACCCTTTTGCACAGAATGTAAATGTCCTCCGCTTCGCTTCGGACAATAAGGATATATAAAAAAAATCTGTGAATATCTTTATAGCTTTAAGTTCAATATGTGTTCGAATAAACTTTATTGCGCAATCAATCACTTGAGCAAAATAAATAAAATAAAATTTCATTTTGTCATTAGATTTAAATCTTATTTACATCTTGCAGAATTAAGAGAGATGCATAAATAAAAAAAAGATTAATCACATTTTTTTCTCACGTAAACAATTATATATCGATATGTTTATTTACAAGATGGATTTGCATTGTTGTTATTGAGTATATTCATAAATGGTAAATTAATGTAAATGACATATTTCATTAAGGTTTAGAACATACTTTTATTATATTACAAAAAAAAATAATTTGTTCTAGCCAAAAATGGGTCGTAAAGGGAGCATCATTATCATCTGATTGATGTTTTTTTGTTTTTGTTACACTCATTATACCGCAAGCGAGCTTATATCTAAGTGGGAAAAGGCATTGCCAATGTATTCCTTTACAAGGCGAGGGCCATGTAAATCTGATGTTAAAATTATTTGCTTTTTCATTGTGATCAATTAGTTATACAATAGGAATGATTTATTTCCTTTTCCTAATATAGGTTAGGGTTTAATTAGTTGATTCCGAAAAAAGATCGAAATAATTATTTATCTGCCCCAAAGAAAAAAAATTTTTAAGATCAAATGCATCGAAGCATAATTTGAAACATTTGATACACAACTTATTTTATTATAGTATTATATTTATTAGGATGTAGGAGATATTGAAAAATGAAGAATTCAAAAGGAAATGAATTAAAGAGATTTTCAAACGAGATTATTATTGGTCCAAGAGATTGTAAACAAAATTAACATTTGCGAACATGTGCCGCGTGTGAACTATTTATTTATTTATACATCATAAAAAAAAAATAATAATTGATAATAAATAGAGACAATTCTCGCCAAGAGAGCTTTTTACCATCAGTCGACTTTGTTCTGATGTCCTTTTATATTTATTTCGAGAAACTAAATTATTAAATTCCTTTAATTCCTTATTATTTTTACTTTTATTTTTTTTCCATCAGTACATTCTTTTCTCTGGTTTAGAAATTTTTAATTGCAAAATGACGTTGTTTGACGAAGAAGTGAGTTGATAATCATCAACCATTGTTTTTATTACTATTTTAAAAATCCCTTTATTAAAAAACATTGATTTCGTTTTGTAGAGTGATTTTCTCATCTCATATTATATGGATCTTTTTTATAAACTTTCGGATCGGTTTGTAATTATTAGTGAATTGATGCCACAATATCAACCAAAACAAATATCTAATCGGTAAGCTAAAGAGTTCATAAAGATAAATTATTTTTTGTAAAAAAAAAAAATAATAATAATTTTTTATAAATTTATTTAGTTGGAGAGACTATCTCGATCCAAAATGTAAGTTTTACCTTTAACTTCTTTAACGAAAAAAATATATATAAATAAATGACACCGTTTAATATTTAATTTACTCGGATAGTATGTAAAAAAAGCTTGACGAATGAAGAAAAAATATTTATTATTGAGCAGACTCCAAATTACCGAAAATTGGATTGGATTTGTTGGAAAGGTTTAAGTTCTTGCTTGGAAAATAAGTCTGGTAGGCGTCATTCCTATAACAAGATCAAAAATTATTGGAATGCAAATCAAAGGCGTCAGCAAAAGAATCTTAAGAAGCGAACTGTTCACTTTCTTTTAAATGAAGAGAATAGAGAAAAACAACATATTAAAAAAAAAAAAGTTACCTATAAGAATGGTGGAATCCCTATTGCCTCTCTTTTAAATTAAAGAATAGAAAAAAAAATGTAGTTTCGATGATTACATTTCCCCTTCTGATAATATTTATTTTCACGTTAACAAACAAAATGGTAATTTTTCAAATAATGATTGATCAAACAACATCATATGAATGAATCCTTTATTACGAGCACTCTTTTTAATTTAATGATTTTAATTCTTTTAACTTAATATTATGTGTAAATTCTGGTAAATTTATACGATCATTAAATTACAAAATATTGCCTCTCTTTTCTTTTGTTTGGGTGGATAAACTTGAACTTAGTATATATAGTTTATGTAGGAAACAATGAATTGTAACACATATTGTCGCTATGCAGAATGTTAACAAACATTTATTATTACCAAATAAATGAAAAATAAGTGTTTTTACACTTTATAATACAACCACATGTCATACTTTTTTGATATAATATATTTAATTTTCGGATTTCGTACAAAAACGAGACATTTTTTTAACTTCGTAACGATATAACACAGAACTGAGAATTTTTTTTTTTGATGATCGTTACAGCACATTTTGTATAAAATGAAAGTTTGAATTTCGCAATTGTATGACAACACATCATTAAACATTTTTCATATAACGAGGGATTAAATTTATAATTTTTTTTTTTTTTCAAATATTTTTATATTTGAAACATTTATTGATAAAAAGCTTTATGATGAGCAAAATTAAAAATGTATTACATGTCTTCTAATTTATTAGTATTATCAAAATACTATTAAACTAATGTATCGTAATAAATATAAAATGAATGTGAAATGGATTCATGAAAAATTTTTTTTTTTTTTTTTTTTTATACAATATACTTTCTAAAAATGCAAAAATTATTTAACGTTGACTTAATAATATTCGCTCTTTTCCATGGGATCTATTGCGGTGAAAACTCCAGACTTAAATTCGATTGAATAATGTTTGTGGTAAACTGTACCGATAAGGAAGTATTTAGCATCATTATTGGCCCAGACTTTATCGATCAAGTATGTATAGACGGTAGGTTCATGGTCGAACTAAAATAAGATTCAAAACAATTCGATTAATTTTTGATCTAAATGGGAAGAAATTTAACGGAAAGAAATATGATCGACTACTAACCAATGCCTGTTCAGTGATGGTATCAACACATTTGCCGACTCCTATGCTGAAAATATCGACAGTGAATGCGGATCCTTTTGCTGTATTATCAAAAAAAAATTCAAGGGATGAGGAATTAATGGATGATCTTCAAAGAACGAATCAAAGAGATTAATTACATCATGAAAAGAATTTATAATTACCATATTTAGCGACACATTCTTTTGCCATTACGAAATCTGCTACTTGAGTGCTATTAATTTTATAAATAATTCCGTCAACTGGTCTTTTAAAAGCAGATTCTTTACAAGTTTCGTAAAAATCATCATAATATGATCTTTGCATTGGAGCAGAGTAAGCAACGGAGGCCAAAAGGGCAACAATTAGAAATGCAACAGTTGAGAATTTCATGTTTAAAGTAAAATAAAATGTGAGTTTGAAGGTAAAAAAAATCCGTAAAAGAAAATCTTTTTGAAGAGATTTAATTCTTTTTTGTTCTTTTTTTTTTTTTTATTCTTTGAAAGAAGTGAAGAACCTGAAGATGAAATTTAGCACTGCTTAAATATCTTTTTTTTTTTTTTCCTTCATACTCGCTGATCTATTTTTAACTTTAAAGCATCAATTAATTCTTCATAAATCCAGTATTTGATTCTGTTTCGTATTTTATTCAATTTGTATACAACCGAAAAATTTTAAATTAATTAATTTGCTATAAAAAGAATTAATACCCCTTAAACATCGATGCAAGTAAAATTTTTGTTGCATTCCACGTTATCATCAAAGTCGTACATGAATACACAAAATTGAAATTTTTCGGTCAGATAAGGAAATCATCCCCCCCCCCAATCGTTCTCAAATATTAATGATGATAAATTTTTTTTTTTTTTTTTTTTTTTTTTTGATAATTAGGTATGTGATTACTTGAAACGCTCTTGAAACATCTTGAAACAATTTATATGCAAGATATATGCAAAAATATGTAAGTGGTGAAACTTATTTCCTTTAAATTATGGAAGGGCAGGGTTCCCCAGATCATTTAGAAGGGCTCAAATATGAGCGTAGATCGTAATATTTTAATTGACTTTATGGAGTATTTTCGGATTTCGGAAAAAACAAGGTTTTGCTGCGTTCTAAACTTGAAACGCATACGCATCTGTGCGACCAACTTTATCCCCAACAAAATTTTTTAGTGAAAAAAAAAGAAACAAAGAATCAATATCATCATTTCAATGTTGTGCACCTATTAAAATAAATGTTGATATTTGGACAGGAAAAAAAAAAGGTAACGTTCATGAAACAATTAATTTAAAGTTTTTCCTGACTTCATGTTCGCATTTGGCTACAACCATTGCTTTTTTTTAAAAAATAAAAAATGTTTTTAGATAAAAATCGTATCTAATTTATCTATCGAAATTGCAAGTACTTAACTTTGCATCCATTAATCTCAATAATCATTAGTATTAATTATTCATGGTCAGCGATTGAAAACCAATTGGTTTGTAAAGATCGGCTAAAATATTTCGAATCGTTACCAATCACCAAAGAAGATTTAAAAAAATTATCGTTTTAATCGTAGCGCGATTCCTATTTAGTTTACAATATGGAACAGCCAATGATTGTTATCAAAATAGTCATATGAAAAAGAATGTTATTGGTGACTCCCGAGTCGATCGCATTTGAAAACAAACAGATTAACAACTATATCGCATATTCGGGTTTAAACCAGTGAATTTTATTGACATATCCATATTAAAAAATATATAAAAATACATTGAGGGAACGTTTGAGATTAAATAGCTTATTCCTTTTTAATCCTTTGTGTAAATTTTAATTAGCAAATCATCAATAAAACGACTCTTGTAAATTTTAAGGACATTGGTGGTCTAACCATAATCATTAATAATAGGATTATTATCGAATATTAATAACACATTTGCTAATATTAACTTCGTTCAATTACTGAAATTAAGTCGGTGACTTCTGAAACATCAAATTTACGAATTTCCAAATATGGCTTACAGCACAGTTGACGATCTAATTGGTTCATATATTTAGAACAAGGTGCTGGTTTCAAAGAACCGTCAGTCTATATCGGAGATTCCGTCGTTTGATCACGTCATGCCCGTTGTTTATTTTCATTTGTCATTTGTTTTGAGATATATATATTTTGAAATTAACCTTACATTATTTTATTTTTATTTTTTATTTTGTTTATTGTTTTTGTTTTGATTTCAAAAAAAATTAAAAATGTTTTCATGAAACGAAAAAAATTTGTGATTCGACTTTACTTAACCGGAACGAATCAAAAAGTTGGACATTTGTCAGGATTTATGCTCAAAAAAAAATTGGATAATTTGTTATGCTTTGGTTAAAAGATCTAATTTCAATGAGTACAAAATTTTGATGATTTATTATTTTTAAATATCGTGCATATTTGTAATAGATCGATCTCGAAAAATGTCCAATCAAAATTGCCGTGTATCGGTTAAATCTGTTATCTATTTATTTATTAAAAATTAATCCGTGTTGATACATTTAAACTTCAAAAACGTTATCGCAGGAGAAAAGAAAAATAGAAAGAAAGAAAGATGGAAAGAGAAAAAATAGAGAAAATAGATAAAGATGGATGCGTTCGTATCCTATCCGATCAATAATAACAAGAATTGGTCAATCATTTAATATTTCATTTTGACATGAATTCTTCGGAAATTGTCCATCGGAAAATCCTTGAACATAGAATGGTGTAACTTTTGTGTAAATTGGTTTTTGTTGTATTTGAAAATTCGAAAATTAGAATTAGTGAACCGATTTTGATGATGATAGAGTTTCAGGATTTATACATCGATTTTATCAAACTTTGATATTAAATTAATTTGCATTTAAATTTTCTTTTTATTGACAATTTCTAACATTTTTCAGTATATAAAAAATTACTGAAGTAATGAGCTATGGAATATTGAAATGTTATTTAACAACTTTTCTTTTTTTTTTTTTTTTTTTTTTTTTTGTTCTGACCAATTTAAAACGGGTTTATCCTCGAATCAGACGCCAAGCATAGAAGTGTAGTAGACCCGAGCATGCTAGATTTCTGCCTATTCTTGATAGAGGTCCTCCCGAGTATAGACAAACGATGGTTGACAAACGATGGTTGAAGACAATATCAAATGTAAAAATTAACATATTCAGTGAAATGGTCCACATTAACATTTGTCATATCACATTATTCCGCAACGAAAAAAATTTAAATTGAATATCCGGAAAATATATTAGCCGAACAAGATAAAAAAAAATGATTTAAATTCAAAGTTAAACCTTATTGTTAAAATGATTTATCGAAAATAGACTAAAATAAGACAAATTATTCCAGGAAATTGCAACTGTAGGCTATCATCTTAGGTTGTTCTTGACCCTCTTTAGCAACGGTTGCTTTATTTTTATTTTTACAGTATTCTTTTTTTTGAAAAAATCCACCATGACAGAATTATATATATAAATAGTATATACAAACGAATGCAAAATTGGTAGCATCAAGAGAAGTAATTTGTTATTTTGGAAAGTCACCTATTTACATTCCATGATAATATTTTGACGCTTGATAATGAATCATATAATCTTTATTCATTTTTTATTATTATGTTATTATAATTTAATTATAACTAGGAAACGGTGAACCGTTGTTTAGTCCGGAGCTAATTCACATGATGAATAAGTTCATACCCAATCAAATGTTACGAGTTTAAAGTAAATTTTTATTTTTTTTTTGATTTGTATACAAGGAGAGTTACCATTTTGGACGCATGTATCAAAGAGGAATCAACAATAATGATTGACTCAACCAACAAGCGAGGGGAGTGGATTCAGACATTTTTGAGTCAATATGCATAGAATTATATAGTCTGGGGCGTAGCGAAGGACTAAAAAAATTCATTGAAACTTGCTTTGTTAACAAAATGAAAATATCGCGACTTAAGTAGAAATATTTTAACTCGAGAAAAAGTCCTCGAATAGATTTAAAAAAAAGATTTCGTTCCAAATGTATTCGTCTTTTAATATCAGCTTATTGGACTTCCAATTTTGATCACTCAGAATTATACGTTAATGCGTGAAATAATTTATTAGTAATCAAAGACGTTGTTGTAGAATTTGGCATCGCATCCATTCAAGAGTTTATGATTGATTAAAATGCAATAAAGAATATAAATTGATGTTTATTAAAATAAAATAATTAAATGATAATTCAAAGTTAGATTTGTCATATCACATATTCAATTCTATGTATTTTATGTCAATAATGGTTGGTTCTAAATGAGATTTTTATCAAGGTGATAAGAAAAAAAAAATCTAGTCTATAAATGAAAGTTGGTGTTAAATTGAGAGATAATAATATATTAATGAGTTAAGCTAACATAAAAAGCTATTCTATAATAGGTACGATTAATATTTTTTATCTTTGACAATGAACATTCCAGATTTACTTTGGACATGATAATAGTTATAATGAAGTGAAGCGATAAGAAGATATTTGGCGTCCTTATTGGCCCACACTTTATCGATCAAGTAAAGAAAGACATTCGGATGATTGTAGTTCTAGAATAAATTTGATAAGTGTAAATCATTATCTTATTTAAAATTTCAAACGTAATTATAAAATAATACTTACATATTCCTGTTCAATGATGGTATCAATGACTTTGTTGCCGCCGATACTGAAAATTTCGACAGTGGTCATCAAATAAGAACCTAAATTGATTTTTGATTAATTAGAAATGGATTAATAATTGAACATAATTTCTAAAAAATAAAAATAAAGAACTTTATAAATTTTTTAACATTACCATATTTTTCCATACAATCCTTGGGAATGACAAAATCCGCAACTTGAGTGCTATTGATCATGTACATGACACCATCAACAGGTTTCTTAAATTCAATGTTTTGACAATACTTGTAAAATTCATCCTCATATTCTTTTTTGTTTTCGGCTGGAGCGGAGAATGCAATTGAAGCCAAAAGGGCAACGATTAAGAGAATGATGGTTGAAAATTTCATTTTGATTATCAAGGTAGGAAGGTTATGTGAAAGAATGTAATTTTTTTTGGAGAATTAATCCTTTAAGAAGGGGTTTTTTTTCTTTATTAGAAGTGAAAAATAGATTGAAAGTGAAAATACAGCGTTTATATACCTTTTCTCTTCATAAGAATCATCATGTTGGAATTATTTTAATTCATTCTAAAAAAAGAAATCATCAGACTTTCATCAGTGAAATCGTTTCTTTCATCCTTTACTTTTTGATTATCGATGAAATTTAATTTTGATCACAAATTTTTGTCAAACGATACAAGTTTACTCAAAATAAAATTTGGAACACAAGGAAGTGATCATCATTTATTTACTTTCCAAAAAAAGGGGAAAGTGGCTTAGATATGACACCATTAATTTGCGGATCCTAATTAGTAATTCATGTATTGGAGATTCAATAGCATCCATTTAAAGGATGGTATGGTACGAAATTAGATTCAAGGTACGGGGAGTTTTATGTTGTACTCTAAAAAGGAAAAGATTTTAATTGATTGTTTTGTTTGTTGACAATACATTTAATGTAACTAACCTGAAGAAATTGCTAAAATATCCGAAATTTCTTGTGCTTTTAAAAAATACGTAGATTTATCAATTGAAAGATGGTTATAGAGATTTCCCGTTTGACATAAGATTTGATATTTAGAGCTGATTTTAATCTGACGCAAAAAAAAATACCCGAGATCAATTTCATAGTATCATCTAAATCAGAAAAACAAATGAGTAAAATTGTTTCGAGTAATACGAATTATATTCATCATAATAATTTATCTAATTCAGTAAATCTCTATTAAATCAGAATTAAAAGATTGAATGATCATTTGGATTTTAGACATTCATTTGATAGAGGCAGAGAGGGTTATTGGGCCATAAGAATTAGATGAATGATACATAGCGTTTCATTTGGGCGGTTTTTCTCATTGATTTTTATCTGATATTCGATTTTAACCCATTACATTTACATTTTGACTTATCCAATGAGTACAGTATATTTCAAATGAATTGGAATTATTGTTGCGATATTTTCTTTTTCTTTTTTAAAAAAAATTTATTAATAAATTTTTAAATTTCAAGAACTTTAATAAAAGCAAAATTAAATTTTCAATTATAGATTATGATAATATTAAATGAAAAAAGAAATCAAATTTGAAATTACAAATATTAAAATGAAAAAAGAAATATATCGTATCGATATAAGAACGAATCAAATTATTTTATAATGGAGACGACTAATTAACTAATCAATTAATAATAAATCTTTTTTTTATCCTTGTCATCCACGGTGATGAAAATTCCGGATTTACTTTGGACATAGTAATCTTTATGAAAGATGGTGGCTATAAGGAAATATTGGGCATTATCATTAGCCCATACTTTATCGATCAAGTAAAGGAAGACGGTAGGACGATTATAGATCTGTAATTGAATTAATAGAATTTGAATTTTAATAAAATTATATAAAACATGTACTGTATACTCGACAAATAACGAAAAATAACGTACATATTCAAACTCAACGATAGTATCAACTACTGCGTTGGCGCCAATACTGAAAACTTCGAGAGTGACAAACAATTTATGACCTAGATAATTAATTTCCGGTAAAAAAAAAAAAGAAAGAAAGAAAGCGGATTAATAATTTTTTTTATCAAAAGAAAAAAATTTAAGAAAATTTTAAGAAAAAATTCAATGTCTACCGAATAAGTCAATACAATCTTTGGGGAGAACGAAATCCGCAACTTGAGTACTATTGATCTTATAAATGATACCATCGACAGGTTTCTTAAATTCAATATTTTGACAAACTGTTTTAAAGTCCTTTTCGTAATCCTTTTTGGATTCGGCTGGAGCAGAGAATGCAATTGAAGCCAAAAGGGCAACGATCAAGAAAATGATGGCTGAAAATTTCATTTTTGTTGATTTCTTCAAAGTAATATGAAAAGAAATGTTTAAAAGGGAATTATTTGTTCAAGGAGAATTAGGTTTTATATTTTTTTTCTTATCCTTTGAAAGAAGTGAAGAGCTTGAAGGTGAAATCTTGACGTTTATATACCTTTTTTCTTCGCACAAAATTTCTTTTGTTTCTATTTTTAACGGAATCACAAGTTTAAAAAAAGGGGGGGATTTACTTTTTTTTCTTTACTATAATAAATAATTCACGCCAATGTTTTAACATTTTACTTGATCTGATGAAATGTCAAATGTCAAAAAATTATAGTCGTATAGTAACTAATCGGTATTGGATCAACAATGGGAACTATCCCACATAATCTCAGATATCTCATATCGTCCATACAAAAACGGATATAATCTTTTAAAAAAAATATCGGTCTATTTCAAATCCAGTTAATCCTTATGTCTGAACGACTTGGATAATTGTGAGAAGAGAAAATAGATATTCAGGGATTCAAACAAACAAACAAAATATTAATAGAATACGGTTAACGGATTTTAAGGCAAGGGACGGGTAACATTTGAAAACATAATTGATATATTTAGAACAATCGAAATTATCCGATAATTATGAGAAAATCGTTTAAATCGCTTATGTAAGAATATTCCCGAATGAAGTTCTGTATAAAGCAATTTGTTGCGCACTGTGCCTTGAATAAGCGATTCGATTTGGGACCGGATGATTGTTACACGAGATTCAATGATTCTATTTAGGAAAGATTGTAATTTTACCTCCTAGATATTTTTACGTAATTTAAATTCTTTCAGAAATAAATCACTTAAAAATATGCAACTACAAAATTCAATAAATTGCGTAAACAGCAGGATTCTTAACGTAATTTTAAATTACTGTGGTATATTAATCCCGTCCCGCAAACCACAGACAGTACCCTGCATAAATACCGAAATCATTGATCAAATGGGGCATGTATAGTTTTTTCTTTTTTTTTTTCTTTTTTTTTTTTTTTTTTAGGTAAGTATGGTATGGGAACTTTAAAACCATTGTATGGTTTTCATAAGAAATATTCCATATTTGTATGGTTTTAATGGTTTTTTTAATACTAAATAAAAACCATACTATACATACATTCAAAACTATACTATACAGGTTTACTATATACCCGGCAAAATGACCCATATATTCATAAACCAACACTTTAGAAGCTAATTCGTGAAGCCTTTCAAGTACATCCAAAATTTAGCAGAAAATTCGAGATTATAAAAATATAATTTACTTGTTTCTTGTAAACTCCTTGTTTATGATACCAACAAGATTATAGAACGCTAAAATAATTTTAGATTATATATATATTCAAGACAATTATCTAACTTATTTATTATCAATAGTTATCCCTTATATAGTTAATACATTAAAATTTATAAAAAAATTAAAGATATTTTGTTATATAGTGATCATAAAAATATGAGAAGAATCTAATAAACTAAATTACAATTATTAGATAATAAATTATTTTAAAGATTTAAAAATAATATAAACTAATATAATTTTATCGGTTTTTTTTTTCTGCGCACCTGCGCAAAATGCAGGGGTGCATAAATTATATATAAAATTTCAAACTCTTATTACTTTTACGCATGGTATAAAAAATTAATAAATTTATTAAAAATTATGGCAACGCGTATATTAACTTGTTTGCACCCACT